GAAGTATAAGGCCTCCAGCTTTGTTCTTCTTTTTTCAGATTGCTTTGGTTATTGAGGGTCTATATGAATTTTAGAATTTTTTTCTAGTTTTGCAAAAAATGCCATTGGGACTTTGATAAGGATTGCATTGAATCTATTCATCACTTTTGGTAGTATAAATATTTTAACATTAATATGTTTTCCAATCCATGAGCATGGGATGTCTTTCCATTTATTTGTATCTTCTTTAATTTCTTTTTAGCATTTTTTTTGTAGTTTCACCTCTTTAGTTAAGTTTGCACCAAAGTATTTTATCCTTTTTGCTACTATAGTAAATAGGTTTATTTTCTCAATTACTTTTTGGATTGGTCATTGTTAGTGTATATAGATGCAACTGATTTTTGTATTTTGTATATAGATTTTGTATTCTGCAACTTTTCTGAGCTAATTTATTAGTTGTAACAATTTGTTTTTTGGTGGAACCTTTAGGGTTTTCTACATATAAGATGATGTCATCTGTGAACAGACATAATTTTACTTCTTTTTTTCTGATTTTCATTCCTCTTATTTCATTTTGTTTTCTAGTCGCTCTGGCTATGACTTCCAATACTATGTTGAATATATAGAATAGCAGTGGTGAGAGTGGACATCTTTGCCTGATTTTAGAGGAAAAGCTTTCATCTCACGATTGGGTGTGATGTTAGCTATGGGCTTTTCCTATATGACTTTTATTTTGCTGAGGCTGGTTCCTTCAATTCCTAGTTTGTTGAGTGCTCTTATCATGAAAATGTGTTGAATTTTGTCAAACGCCTTTTCTATATCAATTGAGATAATCATGTGGGTTTTGTTTCTCACTGTTAATGTGTTTGTATTACATTGATTGAGTTTCATATGTTGACTCATCCTCACATTCCAGATACTAAATCCTAGCTGGTTACAGTGTATAAATCTTTTAATATACCATTGAATTTGGTTTGCTAGTACTTTGTTGAGGATTTTTGAGTAAATTTTCATCAGGGATATTGGTCCATAGTTTTGTTTTCTTATGTCTCTGTCTGGTTTTGGTATCTGGATAATGTTGGCCACAAAGAATCTGGGGATGTTATCAATCCAGGGTCACTTTAAGTTAATTTCTTAGTTTGGGGTTTCCCAGGTTTCAGAGGTAGTTTAAATTCAAACCCCAAGACTGTTTGATAGGCTTTTCCTTCCCTTTCCCTATTTTCAGGTCAACTTAGTCACAATTGGCCCACTGGAGAAATACTCCCACTACCGTTTTCTCTTTATGTCAATCTATTATCCCCTAAAAGCTTCAATATCTTGACCTGTCCATATCACGTATCAGTCAACATGAGTAGCCATAGAATGATCACAAGGCACGAAAAAGCTCGTAATAGCAAGGAGGCAGCCAAAGGTCAAATTCAGCCTCAGACATTTTGTTAGAGCAGCACCCTTTTACATTTTCCACTTAAATGTCTCCAAATATTTATTAATTATTCACAAAAATTAATGGGGTGTCTGTAATGTGCCAGACACTACTCTGGGCACTGAGTAACCAGCATTAAAATAAAAAGATGCAACAAAAATCCCATAGACTTTATATTCTAGAACCTAGAGGAAGAATTCTGTTCTCAGTGCAATCAGGAATAAGCTTTTTAGCTCATAATTAACATGCGTCTCCCTTGCATCCAGTGTTAATGGAAGTAGCCAGATATCACTCAACAGGCAGTAGGACAGTGTTCCTCTCTGTTTCAGGGAAGTGTGCTGGGTCAGCTGGCTCTGAGTGGAGCACTCACTCCTCAGCCCTCAGTCAGAAAACTGATGGATTCTACAAGTAATGCCTAGAAAAGGTTTTTGGGTTTTTTTTTCCTCCTAGAAACAAGGATAAATCTCACTTCAGCTCAATATATAGCTCTGACAAATGGCCACTTATCCCATCATTAGTCAATTTTATGATCTATTATCTGGAACACAAATTGCCAAATTTTAGAGGGTGGATAAGAGTCATCTGAGGAGTCATCTGCTCTCCTCAGGTACTTAGTCGCGTGGGAAGCTAAAGGCAAGCATCTGAAACATTTAGTGGGCTATATTTGAGATTAAAAAAGCAACCCGAGCCAGAAAAGTCAGATCTGTGGTGCTGGGCCGAGGAACAGGCTTCTTTCTGGAACTGAGAACGGTTGTGATTTACACTATCATCTGATTTGTGTAAAAGCCACCTGACAGTCAGGGGCCACACCAAACTCATGGGCCATCCTCAAGGCTGCGGAACTGAGGGAAAGGCCCTGCAACCACATCTTCTTCGGGGAGAATCTAGGCTTATGTTTACTAAGATAACTCACTGAGTTTTTGTTTTGATTTTGAAGATGGAGAAGAGAGAAGAGATACACCACCAATTCCAAACATTTTTGAGTGAAATAAGCAAACCTAATAATAATTATGAACTGAAAATAGCCAACAGGCTATTTGGAGAAAAGACATACCTTTTCCTTCACGTAAGTTTTGCTGTGTCCGCCACCTCTGTGAGTGGGGTTCATGCCTGGCCATAGGTCCTGGAGGTGTGCTACCTAAGTTGACTGCCTAGCTCGGCCCAAATCGCTCGGTTTCCTCCCCCTCCTCACCTGCTCTGCTTGTTTTTCAGACATCCAGGCCCTTTGAGAGCTTCTTTCTAACCTTGGCAGTTTAAATCTGATTTTTGCCTTCACCTTATTGTACCTGCATAAAAACATGCATGGAAGTCCTCAAAGTGATTTGCCCAGGTCCCCAGAATCCCTGCTTACCAAATTAGTCATCAATGCACAGCAGAACTTATTTAGAGATGCTGGGAATGGATAAAATTTTCAACCTCTTTCTGTTCATTCCCTGTTTCTCCTAAAGAAATACTTAGATTATGTTGAAAAACATTACCATGCTTCTCTGGAACCTGTTGATTTTGTGAACGCAGCAGATGAAAGTCGAAAGAAGATTAATTCCTGGGTTGAAAGCCAAACACATGGTAGAGTATGGATGGGTTGTTCATCCTAAAAACACTTCTTGAGTGAAGCCCCGTGCTTGACGCTGCATGGGGTGCCAGGGTGGGCTTGCTTTGGGAGGGGACCCAAGGTGGGTTTTCAGGGTTAGAAAGGCAGGGACGTGCATGAGGTCTGGGAGAAGGCACTGCCAAATGGTGGGCTGGTGTCAGCAAATGTGGGAAGAGCCACGGAGAGCCAGGGAGGGGCGCACAGGCAGCCAACTTCATGGAGACAGTGGAGAGTTATTTACACATGGCTGTGGATCACAGTACCTTTGGGGCTCCGGAAACTGGGCTCCTGTCTGTCTTGTGTTGACATGCTTTCCTTGTATCAGAGCCTTTCTTTCTGAGTGTGGGTTCCTAGGTGGAAATGCCATAGAGGGCTCTCCTTTCTCTTTACCAAGTGAGACATCAGCTCTGCAATCCAGACCTTCCTTTGCTTCTTACAGCTGGGGCTGCCTAGGCCTCGTCTCCATCTGAGCGTCATGTGGGGATGANAACTGCGGCTTTCTGATGGGCCAAGAATTTGTGTATTTATTCAGAACTTTCTGTTTGGGTGGAGCAGCACTCTTTCCAGCTTTCTCCACCACAGCAGAAGCTGCAAGGCTATGTGATTCCTGGGGGACCCACCTCCTCCGGGCTCCCTAGCCATATCGGGCCCAGGAAGCTTCCTGCTGCTGACCTGGGGTGCCCAGGCCCCACGCCCATTCTTCCCAGAGAAGGTGCCTTCCTGTGAGAAATGAATTTTTGCTGAGACTCTGAAATCTGCTGCTGCGGAGCCTCCTGTCACTCCCTTGCTTTTTCTTTCCACTTCCCTCACAGCCTCCTGCTTAACCTCGGCAGCCTTTACATGATTCTGAGACTGTGAATTATACCCACCTCCTAACTTTACGGAAAATGGAATTTACAGAGGTATTCTTCCCCACGCTCCCTTCTTCTTCTTCTTTGTTATGACTATCTGCAAAAGAGAAGAGGAAAGATGCCGATATACAAAGCCATTTTCATGCTCGAAATCTCATTTTAATGTTTTCTTTTCCTACGTAGACCAAGCAAGTTTCTCAGGTACTGCTTCATCTGTGAATTTAAGCAATAGGAAGGAGTTCCCAGAGATAAGCAGACATCACTCATGGGATGATTCCCTTTATAAATCAATAGATTGGCACCCTGGATTTACAGTCTATAAATCAGACACTTCCAGGTGTGAGTCCTGGGGAGTCCTCTTCTAGGAAGCATTTTCAGCCCCTCCCAGACTATCCCACCACGTCCAGTCCTCTCAGAGCACTTTGTGCAGCTCGTGCATGCTTCTCACGATGAGGCATTAATGTTTCTCTCTCCACCACGAACTGTAGTCATCTTTGCATACTCAGCATCTCGATCCGTGTCTGAAAATGTCAGTCCTCAACCATCTGAACAGTTCATGGTTCCTGCACACCATTCTATGCAATGTTCTATCCACCAACTTATTGGGGAGCAGGGAGAGAGCATCTAATCTCAACTTGTCAATGAAGAATGTAATTGCTCTAGAGAAAGTGGAAATGTTTAATGCTCACAGAATCTGTTAGGCGTGAATTACAGGGCAGTCAGTACTGGGCCTGTGGATGACAGACAAAGGTCAGTGGGTTGGGAGTGGACACCCCTAGGCCTGTGCAGCCAGTGCTTTCGGAGGAGAACAGATCAGGGCCTGAGTGGGCAATGTAATATGTGACATTAAGTTTACCCAGTGGAGGGGAGGAAGCAAAGTGAGGAACGACAGGCCTGGAGTCAGGAAGCCAGAGTTTCTATCCCAACTTTATCCCGAGCTGACTGTGATCTCAAGGATGGCAGTTAATTTCTCTGGAATTTTGTGTTCTTATGGCTTACATGAAGAGAATTGTAAAAATGACCTTTAATATCACTCCTAACATTGCATTGGTAACTACTCCCTGTGAAAAGGTCCATTATCTAATCACAATGGAAAATAATTCAGACATCAAGAGGGAATTAAGGTCAGCTACTTTTGGCAACACAAATAAATTTTGTCNGGTGTTACACTCTTTCAAACTTTTAGTGATAATCACGGCCTTCTTTCTTCCCTCCCTTTTTATTTTCTTACTAGATCATAGATGGCATAAGTCCTGAGAAACTAGTAGAGTGGACTAACCCGGAGCATATGGAGGAGAGGACTGTGAATTTGCGCTTGCCCCGTTTGGAAGTGGAAGATAGTTACAATCTGGAGGCCATCCTGCCAGCCATGGGGCTGGGGGCTGCCTTCAGCGAGCACGAGGCTGCCTACTCAGGGATGTCCCCACTCTCAGGGTTGCACGCCCAGCAGTTCCTGCACAGGTCCTTTATGGTGGCCAACGAGGAAGGTACCGAGGCTGCCGCCGCCACTGGTGTGGGCTTTGTTGTCACGTCCGAGGCAGGGCACGAAGCTTTTCACTGCAACCATCCTTTCCTGTTCTTCATCAGGCACAATGGGTCCAGCAGCATTCTGTTTTTCGGCCGGTTTTCTTCTCCTTAGGCCGGTCATTGCTTCAGCAGAAAACCAGCGCTGGAGTTTTAATGACTATGGAAATAGCCCACTCTTTACAAAAATGGTTTTTCTTGCTTGCATTCCGTCTTACCAAAATCAATGATTTAATGACTAATGTGTGTGTGTGTGTGTGTGTGTGTGTGTGTGTGTGTGTGTTTATAATTTTCCTTAGAGAGGAAATGTCCTTTTGTTTGTGACAGGTAGGAAGTGAGTTTAGTCAAGCCTCATTCATAATCTGTTGATTTCTTCTGAAAGTAAATCAATGTCTTGTTGTGGCTTTGTGCACTGATGGAGAGAAATAATCTCATCAGTAAAGACTATGAACTAGTGATTTGGGGAGTCCCTCCGGTTCTGATATTTTGGCAGATTATAACGCACAAGTAAAATAAAACAATAATTTACTCAATTCACGTGTTACTTTTTTCTTTCTCAGCGGACAGTGTGGCAAATGGCACATACGAAAGAGAATTCAGAAGCATGTTAGTAAAACATAAATTAAAACTCAAAAGCCGGAACACAATGAAACACTATCCCAGGCAGAGATGGAGCCATATTTTCACCCTCTGTTCTAACAGAGTAGATTAACCATTGTCAGTCGCATAAGCATTTTGCTATTGTGAAACAAATGCGATCACAAAATAGGATGCACTCATTTTAAGGCTAGAACTTGATGAGTTTTGAGAAATGAATATACCCGTGAAAACACCACCNGTTGACATGCTTTCCTTGTATCAGAGCCTTTCTTTCTGAGTGTGGGTTCCTAGGTGGAAATGCCATAGAGGGCTCTCCTTTCTCTTTACCAAGTGAGAAATCAGCTCTGCAATCCAGACCTTCCTTTGCTTCTTACAGCTGGGGCTGCCTAGGCCTCGTCTCCATCTGAGCGTCATGTGGGGATGATAACAACTTTCAGCCCCATCCACAGCAGAGAACTTCACGGAGCCCTCACTTCATCCTCCCCAGTATGAGCCAAACATACCAGGAACACCAGAGAGCGATGTTAATACGCAAACACACTTGGGGGGTGGGGACTGAGCAATAGCTGACTCTTTAGTGTTAGAGTTTCAAATTACATATTTTACTTCAGTTATCAGGGAGACAGCTGTTATTTAAGAATACATTTTTTTTTCTTCATAGTTAGTCCAAAGGAAATAAAATGGAAAAAAAAGGGGGCAGGAAAAAAGAGGGTCTATCAGAGAATTGGTCGAAATCAGTATTCTTTAGAATTTACTGTGAGATGGGTTGAACCCAGAGACAAAAACATCACCTCCTTTTCCAATAAAATAGGAATTCTCTAAATCTCAGGCGGTAACTATATCGAATGGGTAAAAATAACAATAGCTAACCTTTACTGAGTGCTGATGGTGAGCCAGTCACTGTTCTAAGTGCTTCACGCGTGTATTCCTTTCAAAAACCTATGAGGCAAGTGTTATTCCTCTTTTACAGGTGTGGAAACTGAGGCACAGAGAGCTTAAATAACTTGCCCAAGTTATCCCTCAGCTGATAAGAGGCAAAAGTGGACTAACAGAGGCCACCTGCTCCCAGAGCCTGCGTTCTTTAACCATCACACCTCAGTTTATCCAATGGGATTACTAGATGGTGGGCAAAGTGAGAACATCCCTACCGATTCTGCCAGCGAACGCTTTGTGGGCTAGGCCTGCAGGTGCTGCCCTGGCTGAGGTTTTAATGATGGGTCAAGTCCACCTGCATCGTATCTGCCATGCATATCACTCATCATTTTGAAGATGGGCCAATTTGTTGTTTGCAGAGAAAATCAAGGACCTGTTTCCAGATGCCTCTCTAAACAGCTCCACCGAGCTGGTGCTGTTGAACATCGTGTATTTTAAAGGGCAATGGGACAGGGAGTTTAAGAAAGAAAACACCACGGAGGAGGAATTTTGGCTGAATAAGGTATGGTCCTCTATGTCTGCGATGTCAGGAGTGTAAAATCGAAAGTCATATGTTAGCA